TGACAAGAGATGTCCAGCTGTGATTCTGTCTTCCCTTTATTTGGTGATTTCATTTAGATCAACTTCACGTGTATATATTTTAGGAACCTACTACTGTATTATGTTTCCGTATGACCCCTTGAATGGCCCTTAGTTTTTGATGTTCTTCTTCATATTCCCCACTTAATTCTCTCTTCCCTCCCCTTCCACATTTGATCCTCCCAGCCCAGCCCAGCCATCATCCATCCATAACTATCTATTCTTTTTCCCCTTCTTAGGGAGAGTCATATCTTTCCCTAGTCCTTTACTCTATACATAACCTTTGTGGTTATGTTGATTGTAACTTGCTTATCTTCCAGTGGCCATGTCAGAGGAGCAACAGGTGGTAGTTGAGGTTATTGGTGAAATTATTAAGGCCACTCCACATAGTTAAAAGGGAGGTTTATTTAATGGCGTAACTTACAAATGAAGGGATAGGTAGGTCGCAGGGTCTGAGAAGGATGTAGCACTGTCTGGCAGTGTTCTCTGGAGAACTCTGCCTGGCCCACCTCCAGCGTCTAGGGTCTGGGAACCAAGAGAGAGCAGAGCATCCTGATCTCTGGTCTTCAGGGCCCTCTCTTGGCCCTGCCTTGTAGGCATGATAGTTACTGAAGCCTCAATGGGGGTTGGAACTTCCAAACCAAAGCTAGAATGGCTACCCACTACATGAGGTTCAGGAAGTCAGCCCATCAGGAAGCAAAGCTGCAATGGGTGAGTCTCAGATAGTCAAGACCCTGAGAGCCTCAGCCCCAGAATGTCTTGCTACTGATGTGTCTTTACATGTTTGTCACTGCCATTTTTCTCTGGTATCTGGCATGGTGTGAATGGGTGTGGAGAGATCCCCACTTCCTTTAAAGTAGTGTGATTATCTCGTGGAAATATCCCATTCTACTAGGCATTTTTTACCTGTGGAGTATTATGAAGATGATTTTCTCTAAGCTGTACTGTTTAACTAAAGCAATGATTTTATACAATAATAGTGTTAGTTTAAATAGGGTTTTGATGATTAAGGGTCTTTAATAAGTACTGTATTATGATAGAGGTTAGCTTAGTGAGAAAACTAATATAAATAAAAGCAAAATATAGTGTTGCCTCCCACCCCTGATAGAGCAGGGGCTACAGACAATAGAAAAAATAAGAACAAGGAAATGTCATACAGCTGATTTCTCATGAGGAGCTATATAGACTGTAGCTTAGGTTAATGATTAAGAAAGACAATTGACTCCCAGAAACCCAGCTAGCTCAAGTTCTTTCAATCTTAATGTTGAGAGATGTGTTCACAGAGTTTGGTGTCCATTATAGCTAAAACAAAACTTTAAAATATAACTTAAGGTTAGATTGAGATCTTTCTGTTAATAGCTTTAAGGTGAAATCCCCAAAGAAATGATTAAAAGTTTAGAAGGGCACATAATTGAGTAAGAGACTCCTTGAGGTCAAATAATAAGAACAAAGCAACCCAGTTATTAGATGATGTACTTTTCTTGGTTGCTGATCAAAGATGATGACTCCTTGTACTCATTTCTGACCTCAGCTTCCTGATTAAAAAAAATGTTTACAAATTTGTGTATGAACCCTGAGGATTTAAAGTAGAGAAGACTGATTGTTTTTCACATATAAAAGTTTAGTTTTGTGATTCTTTTAAGATTCATTATAAGATTACCTTTTGAGATAAGTAATAAAATAATTGATCCTTTCTTTGTAACCACAAAATGAATGAAGCCTTCCAGAGAAAGAACTGGCTGAGAAAAATACCTTGCTTGCTTGCTTGCTTGCTTACACCCTGTTAATCTATAACAAGTTGCTTGGACCTGAATGTATGTGAGTTCTTGAGACAACTTGTTTTTCACTTGTAATTCATAAAATGTTTAATCATGTAAGGGATATAGAAAAACATTTCCTACCTATATTCATTATAATCATTCACTTGAAAAATAGAATGTAACCACATTGTAATTTTTATATTGCCTGAAAGATTTTACATGTATAAACTATAAGGGAAAAATAAAATTAGTTAGAAGGAAGACATCAAGAGAGAGACAGAAGGGCTACATCTGGATAGAGGTAAGAAAAGAAATAAAGAACAGGAGAGAGAACACAGAATAACCATAGATGTGAGTGTGTATGTTTTCCCCATTTTTGGTGGCCCCAGAGTTAAATTTAGGCCCCTTCATCAGCCACTGAGAATTAACTTTTACTCCTTCAGATAGAAAAGTCAAGTTGAGTGACAGTTTGCTGACTGTTGGCTCTGCCTCAAACCCTGAGCTACTGAAGGTCGGTTCTCAGGGTAGTGGTAATTACCAATGACTTAACAGCTAACATCCACATAGAAGTGAAAAAATACCATATTTTTCTTTCTGTGTCTGAGTTATCTCACTCAGGATGATTTTTTTCCTGGCTCCATCCATTTACCTTCAAATTTCATTTTTCTAATGGCAGAGTGATACTCTACTGCATAAATGTACGACATTTTCTTTGTTCATTCATGTGTTGATGGACATTAAGGTTGTTTCCAATTTCTAGCTATTATGAATAGAGCATCAGTGAACATGGTTGAGCAATTATCTCTGTATTATTATATAGATTCCTTTAGGTATATTCCCAAAAGTGGTATAGCTGGATCTTGAAGTATATTGATTCCCAGCTTTCTGAGAAATCACCACACTGATTTCCATAGTGCCTGTACAAGTTTGCACTTCCACTAGCAATAGATGAGTGTTTTCCTTACTCCATATCCTCATCAGCATGAGTTGTTGTTTTATTAATCTTGATCATTCTGACTGGCATAAGATGAAATCTCAAAGAAGTTTTGATTTGCCTTTCCCTGATGGCTAAGGATGAATATTCCCTGAAGTGCCTTTCAGCCATTTGAGATTCCCCTTTTGAGAATTCTCTGTTTAGATCTGTACCCCATTTTTAAACTGGGTTATTTTTTTCCTTGATGTCCTGTTCTTTGAGTTCTTTATATATGTTGGATATTAGTTCTCTATATTGATGTGTAGTTAGTAAAAATCTTTCCTTATTTTGTAGCCTGCCTTGTTGCACAAATGATTGTGTCCTTTGCTATACAAAAGTTTTTATTTCATGAGGTCTCATTTGCTAATTGCTGTTCTTCGTGTCTGTGTGCAAGTACCTGTGCTTACTTACTGTGTTAAGGTCACCTGAAATGGCATTGAGGAATGAAACCAGGCTTGGTTGGAGTGGCCACAGCATAACTGAAGCTGTGGCAATTTTATGAAGAGTAATGAGACTTTTTATATCTTTATCAGAAACAGAATATAATGGCAATTGCCAGGATCAATACAGTTGTGGTTGCCAGGATACAATGAAGTTTGCAAGCTATACAGGGTATACAAGATTAATGTCTAAAACCAATTGTCCTGTCAAGTTTCCATGCTTCCTTGACTACTAAGGAAACATACAGAGAAACACAAAGAGGCCTGAATACTTTGCTGCCTGAGGGGAGTGCATCAACCTCTCAGGAACTGGAAGGCACATTGTGCCCCAGGAGCCATGGACTCTGACCTGAAAAAAAAATATGACAAATGCCTCTCAAGGCAGCTACACCAGGCCAACTCCATTGTTCCCTGCATCTGTGTGATCAGTACTCTGTTCAAAAAGTTTTTTCCTGTGCCAATGAGTTCAACCTATACCCCACTTTTCTCTTCTATCAGATTCAGCATATCTGGTCTTATGTTTAGCATATCTGGTCTTCTATATATTTGGAGTTGAGTTTTGTACAGGGTGATAAGTATGAATCTATTTGTATTCTTCTATATGCAGCCATCCAGTTTGACTAACACCTTTTGCTGATGATGCTGTCTTTTTCCAGTGTGTATTTCTGGCTTCTTTATCATTGTGCCAAACCCTCTGATGTTCTTTATGTACTCTTTAACCTCCTGCCCCTGCTATGAGCCTAAGTTCTCAGTGCTCTCATTTGACAGAATGGGACCTATGACTCAGAGAGGTGTAGGGACTTGCAGGGCTTTGCATTTGGACCATGTTTGGCCAATGCATGCTTAAATCAAGAGTTTCAATAAGGGAAGAGGAGACTATAGCCATACCACCTTGAACATATCCAGTGTTCAAGATATGTTCATGTGTGGTTTGTTTGTTTGTTTTTTAAGACAGAGTCTCTCTATGTAGTCCCTGCTATCCTGAAACTCACGATGTAGACCAAACTGGCCTGGAACCCACAGAAATCTTCCTACCTCTGTCTTCTGTGTGCTGAGATTAAAGGCATGCACCACCACACCTATCAGAAAAGGAAGGGGAAACAGTCTATACTCTTATGCCAGATATCCTTGGGAGGAAATCATCCTTTGAGGTTTGGTTGGGAAGAGATTTGGAAGCAGAAGAGAGGTATGGGGAGCAGTTAGAGTACAAATAGAAATAACATCAGTATAGAATCCCAAAGAGAAGTGCTGTATGTCAAATTGCTCTGACTGGTCAATAAATAAAACACTGATTGGCCAGTGGCCAGGCAGGAAATATAGGTGGGACTAACAGAGAGGAGAATTGAGAAAACAGGAAGGCGAAGGGAGACACTGCCAGCCGCCACCATGACAAGCAGCATGTGAAGATGCTGGTAAGCCACAAGCGATGTGGCAAGGTATAGATTTATAGAAATGGATTAATTTAAGGTGTAAGAACTAGACAGCTAGAAGCCTGAGCCATTAGGCCAAACAGTTTAGACAATATAAATCTCTGTGTTTACTTGGTTGGGTCTGAGCAGCTGTGAGACTGGCGGGTGACAAAGATTTGTCCTGACTGTGGGCAAGGCAGGAAAACTCTAGCTACAGAGAAGGGGATGCCTTTGTAGGTCCTCATTCTTCAGCCAGATGATTTTGAGGAACAAGACATGGGGTTCTGGTTTAGACCTTTCCATTTGCAGTGTTAAAAAAAAAAAGACTCCTCACTGACCACAAGAACTCTGTGACCAGCCCCCACATTTACACGCCCAAACTTACACATTCAATTGCTCCATGAGTCCTGGGAAACAGCTCACTGTCACTCACATAGTCCAACTCAACTCCACCCAACCACACACTACGCAATCCTTGTAGGGTAGCTGTGCTCTTTCTGAGAAGTCTAGAACTTTAGTGGAACGGTAGTAGAGAGGACAGAGAAAGTACCTATAGTGAACTAGGACCCCAGGAATTAGCCACTGGTGGGCATTGTGGTGCTTCATAGGCAGCCAACCATACAAAAAGAAGAACTTTACATCCTTCTTGTCATTTTGAAAGACTGTAAAACCAGAGTCCAATCTTCATCATCTCACAGGAAGCCAAGAACTTACTACTTGTTCGGGACCTTGAACAATGAATTCATAAAGACTCTTAAAGGTCCAGAAACAAAGTCCATGCAGACAAAATCCTCTGGAAGCAGAGTAAGTGATACTTTTCCTTTCTATGCTGTTAGTTACCATGAAGGGCAATCTTAGAGGCATGAATGAGTGCAGCTCAGGGATCCTGAACAGTGGGAAATGCTTTGAGAACCAGACAGATCCTACTTAGCCTATTGCTGTATCTGTGCAGTTAATACTCAAGAAATGCTGAAGATGCTGGATGTATTCCTAAGGCTGGATGTTCAGGGAAAAAAAATTTCTAGAAAGTGATCTTGACAATTTGTTGTTGATGATTAAGAAAGTAAACCTGTATAATGAGACAAGAAGTGCCTCTCATGGAACGTTATTTTAAAAGATATCCTTGCCAAGCTTCCTGACATAAAGACCAACAAAATATGGTATATGAAGAAAAGTCAGCAAAGAATATAAACTAGTCAGAAAAATCATTGCAAATGCAGAAGTGACAAAATTCTGAACCAATTTCTTAATATTAGAACTAAAATCACAAAACTAGGACTACTATCTTGGAGGAGGTGAAAAGTCACCACCCAGAGGTACCAGATGGACAAATGGAATCTTGTTGTATTCTACATCTGCTGTATTCTAACATGATGTGAGTTAGTTTCATTCAGAAGAGAAATGAGTAGAACTGGTACTAGCAAATGCATATTTTGCTTTTCCTTCCATGGGTAGGGAAAAGGTGGAACAGCTACAGATTTTTCAAAGAACAAGAAACCGTTAGATTTTCATAGCCATTCCTTTCTGATCTTAAAGATTTCTACACACCACACAGCAAAAAAACTCTGGAATTCATAAACCACTGAGACCATGAACTTCTGGGATATAAGGAACAAAGGCCTGACATTACGATGTATGACAGCTCAGGGTTATTCAATCAAAAAGTCCTGGGTAGTGAGTTGATAGGAAATACACAAAACTGGCTTCTCCCTCAAATAGAGAGCCCTGGTTGGTAATGTTTGTTGATTTCTATGGTGGCCAGTTACAAGTTGTCCACATGCTGTGTGGACATGGAACAGATGCACACAATTGAATCTTATGAGCCACAACAAACATCTGGCATCATCTGGGCCTGGATACTTCTTATCATCTCTTCCCAGGCACTTCACAAATGAGCAAGCTACAGGACACTATTAATGGAAGATTCCAGCATCTAGAGGTATACCTGAGCACTGTGAAAGGGCCCTGGGGCAGACTTCTACAAGCAGCTATTCACAGGCATGGGAGAATCAGTGATAGCATGGGCCTTCTGTTTCTCCTCCAGCCTCAGCCAGGGTCATGTCTCCTTAGCAGCAGTGTGCACTGGAACTGTTGCAACCTAACAACTTAGAGAGAGCAGATAAAGCTGGGGTCCCTCAGTAGGCAGGTGGTGCTGAATATGGCACCTGACAGTGCTGAACTCAACCTGCCTTCACCTTGCGAGAATGCACAAAGATCTGGGCTCCTGAGAACCACTTTGCCCAAGATGATACTGCTCCCCAACTTTTGTTTACTCTGCTATAAATCTGCCAACCTAGCTAGAAGTCCTGATTGCCAAGCTGAGTGTCTTCCCCGTTCAGCACCAGCAGGAGCAGCAGAAAGCAGAAATCTCTGCCTCAGTCATCCCTGACTGCCAGCTGAGTTTCCCCATTGAGGGCTGACAGTGAAGAGGTGAAGGGGGGACCACAGAGACAGAGCTGATAGGAAATGAAGGGACCCCTCTTGACAAAAGGGAAGCAGAATAGTCTTTTCTTTTCTGTCATGTGCCTTAATGTCCAAAGACCACTGTTCAGGTGTGGATTTTATAATCAGGAAACATTCTCTAAGGACCCCAGAAGGGAGCAAAGTAGAAGCCCAGGGTGATTACAGGATTGATGGAACAGGTGCAGCATGCTTTACTGATAGGTATTCAGGTCAAATACTAAACTCTGATCAGTAACAACTTGCTGAAGTGTTTACTTATTTTCTAAGCTTTTAGGTTCTATTTGACATGTGCCACCTCTGCATATTTAAAGGATACAGGGGACATTTCAGTACATGTGCACAGCGTGTAATGGTCAGCCAGAGGAATGGGATGTCTCTGGGTACCTGGATACCTCGATAATCCTCTTTAGCTATTTTGAAATATTCAAGTAGGTGTTATCAACCACAGTCACCTTACTATATGTGCTATAGAGCATGAGACTAGTCTTGCTGTTCAGTTCAGGACTGTCATGTTTACTATCCTTTCTCCACCCTTCTCCCAAACTCTCCTCAGGCTCTGTAGCTACAACTTGACTTTCTAATTCTGTAAGCCCAGCTTTTTAGAGATTTCATGGCATGATTCATATGGAAGAACTGTCATTGACAATCAAGAAAAACCACTTTCTATGTTACCTAGAAGAAACCTAGTAGGGAGAGGAGGAATACAAACATTGTGGTCAGAATATTTGGTAATGACAGACTTTAGAGCAGGACCTCTACATGACAGCCAGGTCCCTGATATTCACTGTCTGGGGATGAAGGGACATTTTTCACATAGCTTCATAGCATCTTTGCAAGGTATGCATTCATTAATCTTCCTGGTTTCAGATTAGGAATTTAGGCTCAAAGAAACAGGTTAATTCATCCAAGGTCACAGAACTAGTATGTTACAACAAAGCCCATATCCCTTTTGGAGGATTCTTCAAAAAGCTAACTGTAAAGAATTCAAAATGTACACAATCATACATGGTGTGGAAGAAGTTTCTATAGTGGTAAGCTATCTATTGGGTCTTTTGTTTATCTCAAGGCAATCCAGGTTAAAAAAAATAATACCTCAGAGCTCATTGCATTAGAATCCCATCTTCCATCTAGCTCCTATGAGGTGTCACCTTTTGGATCTCAGCATCTCTTCCTCCTTGAGCCCATTTTTCATTTCTGTCTCCAGGTCATGCCCTCCTTTTAGCCTTCTCATGGTGCTCACAGAAGGATACTGAGTTAACTGTAAAGCTACCTATACGAATAAAGGACATGTGATATGAATCAGCCTAAGTTAAACAACCAGCCTGGTACCTTGAGTCTCAATCTATAAAATGATAGGTTGTTCCAGTAGGAATTTGCTAGATTAGATATACTAATCTTGGCATAGAATGATGTAGCTAGAGTTTTCCTGCCTTACCCACAGTCAGGACAAATCTTTGTCACCCTCCAGTCCCACAGCCGCTCAGACCCAACCAAATAAACACAAAGACTTATATTGCTTACAAACTGTATGGCCATGGCAGGCTACTTGCTAACTGTTCTTATAGCTTAAATTAATCCATTTTCACAAATCTATACCCTGCCACACAGCTCGTGGCTTACCAGCATCTTCACATGCTGCTTGTCCTGGCAGCGGCTGGTAGTGACTCCTTCTGCCTTCCTGTTCTTTCTTTTCTCCTCTCTGTTAGTCCCACCTATACTTCCTGCCTGGCCACTGGTCAATCAGTGTTTTATTTATTGACCAATCAGAGCAACACATTTGCCATACAGAACATCCCACAGCACTTTCCCCCCCCCTTTTTTTTCAAAAAGGAAGGTTTTAACCTTAACAAAGTAAAATTACATATAATTTGGGAATTTGGGCATAGATTCTCTTACTACTTCCTGCTGGAGGGGGGCGCTGTATCTTGTGGGGACACAAAGAAAATTTTAGGATTATGGAATAGTCCATGCGGCTGTATTGTCTGAGCCAGTTGCCTTCAAACCATTCTGGATGTTGGATCATCTGGGCCATGGTGTCATC